ATAGAAAACAAACCAAGCAAAAACAACAATACATACAATGGAAAACACATTATCATCAGACAAAGATTCCGTTTCCTCCAATCAAAGAGGAGACGCAAGTTAAATGGCAGGTCTAAAACTGAAGTCTGTGATGACATTTAAAAGTGTTTAAAGCCACACTGGGGGCCTTTTTTCTTTGAATAAAAGCAAAGTGTCTAACTATCCAATCACACGAGGAAAATGTGTCAAACTCATATGAGAACATTTCAGATACAGAGGCAGAAAGTCACAGTCCACTCGCTTAGTGTGTCTAAAATGCTTCGCCTTGCACTCCAAAAGTCAGCCTCTCTACAGCCATCTCTACATCATATTATGATATTATATCTTCTGCTCTTATATGATTACAGTAACCCTCGGGTAACGTGTTTTAATTATAGCAGACAGACACAGACAGACAGACAAAGCCGGCTTACTGCTGTCCCTGTCTTGACACAGTTGTGTTTATGTAAGCTAGGATCTCTGCCACCTGGTAATGAGAGTATTCTGCCATGTTGTCTGCTGCTGGATGCTCTCTGTCTGCGTGATGCCTCAGCTCCCTCTAGTGCTTTCCCAAAGACATGAAGAGCCATTCAGAATTACAGTCCTGACACCCCACCCTTAAAGATTTTGGACCTGTCCTTTTTATTGCTACACACAGCTGTTTTAAAAAGGGTCAGAGATGAGGATGATGGCAGCTTTCTCGGGGCCACATAAACAGCTACAACATTTAGGTCCAAACTCTGGCCAATCTGAACTGGGAGTCTTCAGGTTTCAGCCTAAAAAAGAAGAAAATGCTCATAAACTCGTGTTAGTCACTGTACTCTGCACTTTCTCTGCAACTGTCGGAGAACAACCTCGCCCTGCTGGACCAGCGTCAGTTTTAGGCACCGCTGGCTTGAATTCGCTCTTCTGTCACAGCAAAACATCTGCTTTGTAATTTTGGTTGCGTACTTGACGTGAAGCCATTTGTCTTTGCTGTAACTGCTCTGTGGATGACCGATAGAGCTGAACTGTCTCTTTTTTTCCCCTCATGTTTGGAAGAAATGTGTTTTAAAAGCTGCCAAGGTTCTGGGTTTGTTAAACTGTGGTTGCTTAAATAACCGTGCTTTCTCTGCTCTGGCTTGAAATAGAAGGGTAAATCCTTCCTAACTGAAAAACTAGAAAACCGTGTCAGAGAAAGCTGGAGGATAAATATGTACTGCTATTTTCTCTACCAGGACGCTCATAAAACCAGCTGAAGAAAGGATTGCGCTTCCTTTGACAACAAAGCAAAGGTTATGCTTACTTTTATTTTGCTGTAGATTAAAATGGAAAATACAAGAGTAAAGGCATAGTCGTGTGAAACATTACCAACCCCGCACATATAACGACAGCTGCACACAGCAGTCTTTTAAAGCTGTTTTGCTACGGCTCACTGGAAGCAAGTGATTTCAGGAGAGGAGAGGTTGCAATCCACTCTAGTTGCAATGCCAGCGAGCTGATTTATATGTGTGGACTCGTACATAGGTGGGCGTCCACCCAGGCTGTCTGGGTGATGTACACCTCTAATAGATAGTGCCTGATCATGCAGAGAGCCCTTTTCAGGGTGTGCACGGGCATGTGTCAGCATCATGGGGAAATCCCAAACCAGCAGATGGTGCTGCCGGTTTATCCTTGCTGAATTAGATTTCTCTTTCTCACACATATACAGTCTTATCTTGAAGGACTTCAGATGGAGACTAAACCACTCATCCCCACTTCCAATGGTCAAATTTTTCCCACACTTGTCAACTAAAAACAGCTCCTATTCCTGAAACACAGCCTCCTCAGGACCACTAGACTCAAGGCTGAAGTCTTTCCTCCAGCGCTGGCTGCTTACTCAGCTGATGGGAATTTGGCAGACTGCAGCAAAATACAATACAAGTGCAGAACCAGAAGCCAATCAGGCTGTGTGGCTATCCATTTCACTCCTTCCTGCACCGCTGGTCACTTCGGTGATGCATGGAATTTGCAAAAATGTGCTTTTTCATCACACTTGAGCCATCATCAGATCGTGATGTTGACATGAAGTAGACGCATCCAAGCGGTTGCATAATTGCTCATGGGCGTGTATGCGCTCAACAATTAGCTTCCTGAGATTTAAGTAGGTCAGTTCTTGTGGGTGTGCAGCGTGAATGCAAATGCATCTAATTCCACCTTTCGTAAGCCTTGGTCTCCCCCTCGTGAGAGCTGCATCTTCTCCAGGGTAATCCATGGATCCTTAGAGGTTTTACATACGCCTGGTTAAAAGACATGGACATATTATTAAGTCACGCTGTAGATGGATGGAAACTGTATGCTTCTCCAAACAAAATGAGAACAAGGAGGTTCAGGGGTTGACATTGTGTTTAGGTATGTTTAGAGCTCACAGAGAGGATTACTCCACAGTGGGTATTAGGCAGCCAGGAAGTGCTGGAGAGAGTTAAGACACTGAGCAGAGGCCTGCTGGGCATCCAGGCAGGAAGCCATCCGTTTGCCTCTCACAGCTGACTCATACTGTCTACGTGGGCAACGTCTGCATGTACACACACACACACACACACACAAACATGCACCATGCTCCCACATGCAAGGAATATTTATACGTTCATGTGGCTGTCATACGCAGGCGTAGACATGTTCACCTGCATGTGTGAGGTGATTATTTTCTATCCAAAATGCAGTACTGTCTACACACGTGGTTAAAACTGAAGTTAAGACAGGTTAAATTTTTATAATACATAAAAATTATTCTGCCCTATAACAGTATCTCAAATTTAAGGCCCGTTTGAGTGCGGCAGTCTTAAAACGTAGGCTTTAAATTGATTCTTTTTTACACTCTGCTCTCTGTCCTATTAAAAATTAATCGATATAGATCTTCTAAAAGCTATCTAGCCTTCCTCAGACACCTTCAGGCGATCCAAATATCAGAGCATCTTATTTCTGCCTGTCAGTTTGTTTTCCTTTGATGCTAATAATCCCAGGATGACCAAATCTGAACATTTGTTTTACAATTTGTGGAATTTTTAAGTCTACATCTGTAATCTGGATTAAAACATAAATCATCCAACCAAGAAAACTCAACACAAGCAGACCTGGAGTCACTCTCAGATTAATTAGTGGGTTTAAATCTCAGTTATTGGTGTTTCTCAGGAGGTGCTAAAGTTTTAAGGCTTTTAGGGGGAGTTTAAAGTCACTGCAGTGTCGTTCCACTTTGAATTCATGAAAGTGAATTTAGCTCAAATATTTTTTAAGAATCTGGATTTAAATCACTCAGAAAGCCAAGAACATGTTGTACCTTAAAAAGACTTTCACACTTTGGGCTGTTCACACACACACACACACACACACACACACACACACA